GTCGTTGAAGGAATCCCAAAATTGGCAATCCATCGAGAGTAAAGGGAGAGAGAATAGAAATTTCGTTTCCGGATCGTGAAGATGCCACAGTATAAAGTCGTGGTATTTCATCTTCTAAGCCTATATATGAAAATGAACAAGAAAAATGGTCGATGAGTGGGCGGAGGGGGAGGAAAGGCATCAGAAAATTGGGGTATCTGGGAAATGATCTCATTAGAAAAATTTATGGAAAATAATATATGTATGCGGTATCTGCTTGTTGTAGCATGTTAACGGTGGGGAACAAGCTTAAAGACATTTTCCATGAGAGCATTACATATTTACGCGCACATGTATACATCACATATGAATATTAGAAAATTGTTTCCCTCCTAAGGCATGGCAACGCTACAAAGTAGTACACAGCAATCTCCTTTATATTCCATGAGTTAGCGTGCAAATTGGGAAGTGATGCAATTGTTTTGTATATTAGAGTGTAAAATAAGCTAAGAAGATGGAGTTTCGACGTCAGACAAAATTATTAGAAGCTCCAACATGCAGAAGTCCCACCCCTGCCAGAGAACTTTCTCTCATCTGACATGATGTAGTGATGTGCTTAACTTGTAGCTCAACACTTGAGAGGAGACGATATAGTATTTTAGGTGTGTAGCATTATTAGTGCTCCAGTTTGCACATGATTTGTGCTAGCTTTGGAAATCAAAAGCCAGTGCTTAACTCTTGAAATTGCTGAGCATTTGAATGGATTTCAAACATGGACAATCTTGAATTGCATTGAGATTTATTTAATAAGATTCCGCATCTAACGATATCATGCATTTTGGGTATTGAGATGAAGTTAGAACTCTAAATTTCGCCTAAAGCCAAGTCCTCACACTTTATATGGCAGAGGAGAATCATCAGTAAATCCTTATGTCTTTGTCGTCTGGAGATATGCGAGACTTTAATAAGGATGAAATCCCCAGAATCCATTCTTTGCGTTTTATAGTCTTATCAGAAACAAGAGAGAGAGATTTCAGCAATTTGATAAAGTTATGTTGCGATTCACCATGTGTCACCTGAGTAAACTATATAAATTTATATCTTCCATCAACACATGTGAGCACTGAGAGGATGTTTGGAAGGAGCACAAGAAAAAGGACAATGATGTTCTACTCATAAGAGTTACGAGCCTCTGGTGGGAAATTGCCAGTGCAAATCTCATTTTTTATTGTCCACATCCAACCAACGTGGACAAATCATTTCGGTGATTGAACATTTTTCCAGATTCTCTGTCCAAATTGTGTAAGGGGTTGAATATTGTGGGGCTGATGGGGGGAGAAAGTGCGTATCAAAAGCATATTACCTCATCCGCGCGCTGATGGGCAATTTTGATGCGAAACTAATATTTTGTTATGGCGCGATCAATATTTTATAAGCGCCATCGATGGAATTTTTTAATTAAAAAAATTAATTGGTAAAATTTCTGTGACATTGCCTCTTGTGATGCACACTGCGTTAGCGCGCGCGCGTGTGTGTGTGTGTGCGGTGCATGTCAAAAATATGCTCATAACGCTGCGAAAACATTCCTGAAGAGCCAATTTGAAATATTTTTTGCATCGACTAGTAAAAAGCTTAAAATAACTTATTGTGCGACCGATTGAATTTTTGAGAGGTGGAAAAACGCGAATGAGTAGATGTACAATATTTTGTGATTGATGAGAAATTCTCCAGTTGTGGATATTATCAATAATGTGACCTCGACATGTTCTCACAAATTGGTTGACTTGATCTTGACAATTTATCATTCTGTGACTGCTAAGCAGCTGGGAAATCTGTGATGCGCAAAAATGCTCGCAGTTACGACATACATGTATGTATATATATATATACATCTTAAGGAGGATATTTTATGTTGCGCCAATTCCGTAAAATCAATTGTCAATGCTTGGGAAAATTTGGAGATTTTTCGGATCGAGTTATTGAATAACTCTGGAAAGAAAAATCGATGAGACTTTCATTTCCTGTCAAATGCGATTTTTTTTCATGTGAAGCATTTTCAAATCAGAATTTCAAATATTGCCTGGACTTTATTTGTACACTGACCGTGTCTTTTTCTGAATTTTCCGGGCTGTTGAGCTACACATTTGGGAAAGATCGAAGAGAGGAACAAAGAGAAATATTAAATCCCATCAATTTCTCTCACAGTGTGTCCATCACATGAAGATGCTGAAAAAGAGATTGCAAGATGCCTTTGTACGCTTCAATGGCGTGTCAATTTCTGTGTAGATGTGGAAAAAGGACAATTTAATCAAAATCTGTAGATGGAAGAATAGTTTTGCATATATTAGGTTTTCTGCATGGTGCGTGGTATGGAAAGAGTTTCGCCTCTTTTTTTTCCTCTGATTCTCATCATGTCAGAGGCGGAATATACATCAATCCTTCTCTCTATGGCTTGTTTAATCATGAAAGCGTGGAAATTGTCTTTCATCCAGCAGAGAGAAGGTGGAAGAGAGTGGAAAAAAGAGGAGTCTCCTCTTCATTCTTGAATGTGAAAATTACTAATGTGCAAAAAATGATGTCGCCTGGGGGATGATGTTTATTTTGGTACTGTTTATAGTGCTTTGGAAGCATGTGAAAGTTTATTTCTTTGCACTTTTATTCATAGACACTTGAAAGTTCCGATTATTTGTCGACAGTTACAAGTGGCACTTCACATAACGTGCTACAAGAGTCTCGAAAGTGTGTGTATATGTAAAAGTGGCTGAGAGGATGGAAATATCGGAGCAGTGGCAGGATATTATAAGCAGAGAGAGGCAGAGTTGGGCTATTGAGTGGAATATGTATCGTGTTGTCACTCTTCTGACCATGTACTTAAGATGATATAAGTAAGCCCACTATACTATGATGGTATAAGATGACAAGGGGAAATCTATACATATGATCTGTGGTCGTTGGGTGAATGCTAGACAAGTGGCTGATACACCCAACATTTCTCTCATGGAGAATTTATAAGAAATTATAGGAACAGTGAGAGATGATATGAGAATAGACCGAAATGGGGATGAGGTTAAATAACTTTGTGAATATTATATACAATGGAGTGTTATTATATATTTATTGAGGCTTCTGGGGAGTGAAATCATACAGTGAGATATAGAGCAATTTCCTCCCTTTGCTTTGTCTTGCTCTCTTAAGTCTTCTGATTTAGCGTTGCTGCGTGATTTGTGGACAAGCATGGAATTAAACTTGAGACATTTTCCAGAGTGTTACTTCCATAATGATAACAGATATTGGAAACACAAGACTCATTTGTTGAATAACATTATTAATATGGCCTAAGTGCTTTCGTGTAGAGACTAACGGTTGCTTTCCTGGCGGGAATGGGAATTCTGGATTTTATTATGTTTATTAATATATTTTGCAAAAGAGGTTGAAAAAGTACCTCTAGCATGTCTGTTCAGCATAGGAAACATCTCGTCGGTGTGGAGATGAAAAAAAATATTACGAATTTGCATAATCGAATTCTCGATTGGAATATTTTCTATGAAATTATACCTCCTTTGGAATTCGTGGTAGGCAACAGTTTTTATCAGATTTCACAAAATGTTTTCCCTCAATATCGAAGTGCTTCGGCTGGAAATGCAATAAATTGTTGTGGAGGATTGCGCGCATTCGATATCAATTGAGAAAGTCATGAATAACGTGTCACATTTAGTTTCATTGGTCCTTTTTTCTCCCCGTCTCGGGCAAATGCAAGAGTGTTTGGTGTGGACTCTTTTGACTAGGCATGCATGGGCGAAAGAAAAGTTTTCTCATTTTGCCTTTTTGTCGCATTCATTGAAGTACAATTGAATTGTGAATTGCTTTTTCAGCAGCGCGTGGAATTTCCTTGATATGTATACCAGGCGAAAAATGCACGAGGCACAGTGCACAAAAGTTTAATTTATAGGGAAAATTGCTGCAACTTTGAGTCGCAAAATACCATTTGCTTTTTCCCTCTCGACACTTATTCCAATGGCAGATGTGAGGAATTCATTTAATTTAAATACACTCTATATGGAAGTGTGATGCATATAGTAAAGAAAGTTTTCCCTTCACATTGGGAAGTGACTGTCCAAATGGCATCAGTGTGTCGTTGAAATAATGTTGTGTCTTCTCCTTAACAATTGGATGGTGTTTTATTGTGAGAGCTTAGCACAACAGCATCAAAATTATATGATGTACTTGCCAAACATGATGAAAAATATTGACTGTGATAATAAAATTCATACTGTACGTATCAATAAAGAGGGCGAGGGTAGTTATTGTGGCAGAATGCGAGGAAGAAAGTTTCGTTTGTGAAGGGAGACAAAGAGAGAGAGAGAGAGAGGAAATGCTCTGCCATGCGACATAAACGCAACTTCATTTTCTCAATAAGGAGCGCCACTCTATTGTGTCACAAATAGACCATTCTGAATATCGAGAAGAGTGGTGAACAAAGTTTCATTGTGCCTCTGCAACAGCTTTCTGAATATGTGTGTCGTAAAATTGAAGCTCAAATACTCTCCATTTCGATTAAGGCCAGCCATAGCTGGTGATATGTATACAATAAAGTTTAATTTAAAATGAAGCAATGCGGCTGAGCCGATACTCTCATTTTTATGATCGCGGGGATAAGTATAAATTGCCCTCGTGACATTGTTGACAGAAATATCGAAATAATATGGATTTCATATCGTGGCGGGAAACACTGCAGTGAAAAAAAATTCTCTCCTCCATAACTAAATCTTGGCCATGTTTGATTTTGCTGAGCTGTTCGCCTGAGTGTAGAATATTGTGTGCACTTCATGGTGACATCGCTTAAATTGCTCGTAAAAAAAATGTTGATCGTCCTCTAAGGAAGGTATTCTCTCTCTCTATGTGACCTTTTATCCTCTCATACACTCTTCAATCCTGATGGAGAGATAATGTGAGCATGAAAAATCCAAAAGCACCAGTTTTTCCTTACATCGTGTGCAACTATGCTGGTCGGGACGCTACAGACTAGGCAAGCCAGGAGTTGATGTATATGTGAGACACGACGGTGATTCTGCATGTGCCGTGACTAACATAGAATTCCTAGTGAACGAAGGTGCTTTTGTAACTTCCACTGCTGATGACTCCCTACATTTATGGAATTTTCGCCAAAAGAGTCCTCAAGTAGTACAAAGCTTAAAGTTTCAGCGAGAAAGGTATGCGCAATGTCAATTAAATCTGATAATATTTCAATGGCGCGTTCATCATTAATTCTCTTCTACTTTTTTTTCAACAGGATAACATGTCTCCATTTGGCTGTTGCGAGCAAATGGCTCTACGTTGGCACGGAGAAGGGCAACATTCACGTCGTGCACATTGAATCGTTTGCACTGAGTGGCTACGTTATCAATTGGAATAAAGCCATTGAAATGTGAGTAATGAATCACTTGTTCCAAACGACTTATCAATTGATCTCTTGGCAAGGGTAAATTTTCTCTCAGGGGGTATTTATTGAAAATTCATTAGTGCACCTCAGCTGGGACATCTAATGAAAAAGTGTTATCTTAACCAAGACGGGGTTCTCTCGCATTGGCACGATTTCTGGGAAATTCCTTTTGAATTCAACTCCCTCCCAAGAATATATACAGTTTCAAGGATTTCGATAAATGCGCAAGAGTGCAAAATGTTGTACGCCATTTGAGGAATCATTGAATTTGTCAGGAAGCATTCGTTATGGTGACACTGAGAATTGAGTATAAAACCTTTACACAACAACACCTTTGATGATGTTTGAGAATATTTGCTAAAGAGGATATTTCATAAGTCGTTAGTTGCACGAGAAAACTTGCTCCGCAGTGGTTTCTTATATTGGGAAACTTCCAAGAATTGTTCCTATCTCTCGAAGCCACTTGAAAGGTGATATAATTCAACGTGAAATGGAGAAAAGGAATATCTTTGGAAGATGTTGCCAAGAAACAGCAAATTGCTTTTAATTAAAGTTCATATAATTTATATGAAAGTTTGAGAAATGCAGAAGAAGAGTTAGTGAAAAACGAAAATTACGACGAAGAGAAGAAGACTTTAAACAAATTTTCATAATGTAAAACGTGATACGCACACCTAAATTCCCACATGCCTCGGATGACGTGTGGCGTAAGCACGCTACATTAGGCTTTTACATACATATTTTATCTCTCACATAATTGCCATGTCCGATTTAATTTCCCAATAGGATAGTTTGACGATGTGTCTTGCATGCGAATTGCTCTTGTCTTCTCATTCCCAGAAAATAGAATTTTCCATACTAGATGCGATCAGTGAGAATCACACGCAAATTCGACGTGAAGTCCTTTTCTATATATAGTTAATTCACATCTCTTGGTCGTGAGATTGTTGTGTGGCACGTAAATCAAAAGTATTATTATCGTGTGTGTTGCAAAATCGAAAAATCGGGTCTCCAGTGAGAACTGCAGCAGCAGAATTCTAAACGATTTCTCTAAAATTGCACTCCTCATCGATATTCTGGATTGCATCTTTCTCAAATTCAATTGCTTTTCTCCTCTCAACTCGCTCTTTCATCCCCATATCCTTTCAATACACACCCCATGGAATATTGAATGCAATAATCGCTCAGTCAGATCATATTTGGGAATTTTCGCCGTGTGACAATTTTCGAGCAGACACTTTTACAGCTGGATTTCTTCATGTGATGAGGAAATTCTCCCTTCTTAGTCAAATTTCCATAACTTGAGATTCGATTTTCTTTGAGTGTTAGAAAAGCACACAAATGAAAAAAAAATCGGAGAATTGTTGTGAAAATTCATGACATAATTTAGTGGTTGATCAGTTGAGAGGTCAATCAATTAATACCGAATGCTCAAAGTTTGAAAAACGCGTGTTTCTTCAAATTAAATAAGACTTTTTATTGATTGAAATATCACGTGACATATTTTATCGTCATTCATCACCATTGTGAGTGTGACTGAAAAATTTTCTTATTCCTGACTTTTTGAGGCTCTGCAATTAAATGTGATGAAAATTACTATTAAGACCACGCACAGTTCGTTCAATATAGAACACGGATGCCGTGAATAGAGCGGGCAGGAAATTTTCCACGTCGGTCTAAGGTCAAACAGGTGTTGAATGGGGTGCATGTGGAGACTGTAAGTTTCATGACTCTTTAATGGCACGAGGAAGTGGAAAGAGGAAGGAAGGGAAGAACGGAAAGTTTTCAATAATTGAGCCTCCACGGATTTTGGTCTTATTGACTTTGAGGGTGGAAAAGTTGGTGAGTGACATTTAAAGCTATGGGCGAATTTGATCGGGAATCAATTGGACTTTGAAAAATCCCATGAGGCAATTGTTCAATGATGTATGCGCGCATTGTTACCTTGTTGAATTGAATTCTGAAAAGTGGTAAAATATTTAATTAGTGCTAGATTATGCAATTAGGCTCATTATGGCATTGTATATCATTGTCAGCTGTGAGAATTCTTACAAAGTTAAAATGTGTATAAATTTTCATTTGAATTTTAATTCATTTTATCCATTCAATTTGGCTAAAGGGTAAAATGCGTTACCCCAAAAAGCCCAAGTGATAATGAATTAAATTTTGCAATGGGACTCTGTGTTTGTTGAATTTTGGGGAAAGGATTAAATTTCAACGGAGACTGCATATTAATTAATCCTAGTGCCAATTGAATTGTATAGCGAAATTGACAGTTGAATTGAGAGTATTCAGTTTGCAGCTGCAAATGTACATCCGCACGTAGTTTGGGTGGGGCTTAAGATGGCAAAGGGATTGTTGCTGGAAGCCTTCATGGCATTTGTGGAGTGCGCTTGAGTTTTAGGACGTACATAAATCATTCAATGTCGCCCGTCGAATGTTGTGTCCTCTCCCAATTCATCCACTTGTGAAATCTTTCTCGTTCTAGTGCTGTTTTACCTCAAATATCTCAATACCAATCGCTTTTGTACATTATTAATACTCTCTCTCTAATAGTCATCCTTTCAAATTCTGCTCAATTGAGACACTCGAACGGTTTCACATTCCGTACTTCCTATTGATTCCCCCTGATTTGCCATTATTTGAGGATTAACGAGAAGAGTATAAATTGCATACGTTTTTGGGAGAACCTCTTCAGATGCACGAAATTTCAGTTGGTTTTCTCGCTATTCGATCAATACTCGGATTTGGCGAATATCACACTGAGGTTTAATATAGCAAAACATTTAGAATGTTATTCAATACGGTTGCAATTCCTTCAGAACTCTTGAAATGGAGTGTAATAGATCTAATATATCTTTTGTCACCTGTTGTAAAACAATATTAATTTGCAATGTATATGTTGTTATTAATTAAATTTAACTGCGAAAGTTGTCGAGGGTTTGAAATTAGATAGTCTTGAAGACAAGAGATAGTATTTTAAATTAATACAGCAACGAAATAATGATGTTTTTGAACTAACAATGTTGAAATTTTACCTTTTAGTCCATTTTTGTGGCAAAACTTTGAAATACCACAAATTGAAAACTGAGGAAGATAATATCATTTACTTATTAATGAGTGTTGTGAATACCACAAGCAAACTATTAATAAGTAGTTATAAATTGAGGAGATAATCTATCACTTGTTGTGCAAAATCTTGAATTCTGTGATCAAATGTATAGGAATTGGTATATTTTCGAGGGGTAATATTTTTTCCTTCCAATTTAGCACTCGTAAGATATTTTTTATGAGCACGATTATGTACAAAGTGTGTAAAAGAGACTTGAAGTAATAGAAAAATTGAGGAAATTATAGAAGATTTTGCAGATGAAAACATGTTTTCTGTCCGCAGGCAAGAATAAAATAATAAGAGATTCTGTTCGCACGGTGAATATGTTGAAAGTAGATATTCATATATATTTTGTGATGGAATCCCTCTAAGGACGAGCGAGGGTGAGAGTGGGAAAAAAATTGAGACAAGAGTTTCTTGTTTTCAGTGCATGAGGATGACGTTTATAAATTGAGAGACGCGCTTACCCATTTATATTCCTAGGAGCAAAATAGGGAGGTTTTCCATACAAAAGGAACGGGTCAGGCGTAGAATGTCTGCGAAAGGAAGAGGAGGAGTGGATGAATATGAGGGGGGCAAGAATAAGACTGATGTGGAAAGTTGTACAACAGAAGAGAGGAGTTTTATTTGTCTGTTTTGTGTCTCCTCTTGTGTCGCCTTTTTTCACTGCATCATCTGCCTTTCTTTGGTACTCTGGCAAGAAGTGTCGAGGAAAAAGTGGGGAAAAGCTTAAATCTTTCATAGGGGGATACACACTTATCTCCCAGACAAGTTCCATTTGCTTTTTTGCCGCCTCTGCCGTGGTCGAAAAGTGCATTCTACCGTACAACACCGCACAGTCACTGTATAAGTACACATATGGCGGGTATTTTAAGCGATGCTTAACCACCGTTTGGCATAATGGATGGTTAGACTTGGTATGACCCAATTTGCCAACTGCACTGTCTTCGAATGTTATGCTAAACGAATAACTGTAGCGCGGCGTTTATGTTTTATATGATTCTCTCTGTGCAATACATTTGCCAAGTCGCAGAGTGTCAAGCAAAAAGTGAGAGTCTATTAAAATATTTAATTAAACATTTTGCAAGTGGTGCGCGGTGATGAAGATCCAGAAGAAAGGGTCATTAGGATCGTAAAAAATGGTAATGACTGTGGAGTATTCTTCAAATATTCGTGTTCATTTGATGCTTTTGACTCACAAATGACCTTTTTGCTTCGCCCTGTGCGAAAGAATCTACAATTCAATGAGCAACGCAGAAGAGAGCATCTTCTTCATTAACAATTGTGCCTATATAAGCTTCGTAATCTTTGGATTACTTTCCACTGTTTTCAACCATATTGTTGTAATTTCATTTTGCGCAGAAATATTCTAACCACATCGGAGAATGCATATATTTCATCATCGTATAACAGTTTCTACTTGATATTTGAAAAGAAAAAAAATCATTAGTCACAGATTATGAAGGTGAATAATTGTGGGTGTCTGACTACGTGATGGTGTTCTGGAAAATCTTCATGTCCACAATCGAAATCCCCTGGGGATTAATGTTCCTTCACTTGTTGCTTGGCGGTATGACGGGTGAGATAGAAGGGAATAAAATGAGAGTGAAATAATTTGACCACCGGAACTCGGGGGCTAATATGATATTTATTAACATTAACGAAAACGGAAATGGAGGGAATCCGTAATAATAAGATCGATAAATCTCGTCATGAATTTCTCTATTTTTGTGGGGTTTCGGTGCTTCTTTGTGGAGTTTTCTTCGTTAATCTCAAAATCTCAATTGGTATTGCTGAGTTGGTGGTGAAGTCATGCATATTCAATCGTCCAGTGATTCGTTATTGGTTAATTATATTGGCTGGGGAATGTGTG